TGTGTTATGGAGCCAGATTTTAAATTTTTACTGGAACTCAGACCCAAGTCTTTCTGACACTGTTCTTTCCACTCTGCTCTATTGCCTTTCCTGTGCCCTTGCGAGGGAAAAGGAAAGAGTGGTAAATTTGAGTACTATCATGGAGATGTGGCTGCCACCACCTGCATTTCATAAGATCTAGATTGGAGATGAAGGTGGAGAAGGGGGAGAGAGGCAGGGAAAGGATGTGGGAATGTGTGTGGTGAGAGATGGAAGTCAGGCTGTATAGATTGGAAACCAACCTAACTGTAACAAATAACTCTGCCCCCAAACCTCCACCCCAGACCACGGCACTCCCATCCTTTTCACCCTGGACCTTTGTTTCCACAGTGTGGTCCCTGAACCACTTGTATTAGAATCCCTTGGGGCAGTTGTTAAAAAGGCAGGTTCCTATGCGCCACCACAGAGGTACTTAGTCCAAATTTGGGGGGGGGGGCCTGTGAATTTGCATTTTAAACAACCTCTCCAGGTAATTTCGATCAGGAGCCACGCTGATTAGGAACAACTGTTCCAGACTGGTGTTTTCCAACTTTCTGGATCATGCACCCTTTTCAGAAAGAATTTTTTGAGCATGCACTTTCAATATATGTTGGTAGTTTATAAATAAATTCCTGATATGTACTAATGTCCTAATATTTACGTTTTTAAATAGAAAAAATGGTGAGAATTTTGCATTCATATTCTTAGGTGAAAATGGTTTCCAGTTTTTCATTATGTATGTTCTAGTTGTTGAGTTTGGGTATTGACATTACACAGGATTCTTTTCTTCTCCCTCAATAGATTCTAGAGTCTAGGAAGTATAAATAGTATTGAGGTTGTCTGTTCCTTGAAGGTTGATAGAATTAATGCAAGACCATGTGAGTGTGCTTTTTTGTCAAATTTATCAACATTTTTTCCAATGGTTAACAGGTGGGTTTAGATACCCCCATTCTTTGGCAATCGGTTTTGGTAATTTTTGTTTTCCTAGAAAACCATTCTAAGTTTTCAAATTTCTTTTCATAGAGTAGAGCAAATTATTCTCCTACTCTTTTCATTTACTCTGTAACTGTGGTTATTTCTCCATTTCTAATTTTGTGTGTTTAGGGTTTTAATTAGATTGGCAAGTGGTTTATCTTTTTTATTGTTTTATGTTTTATTTTGAAGAAGTAGCTTTTGGCTTTAATTATTAATTCTATCATTTATTTCCAAGTATGTTAATTTCTGCCATCAGTTCTCTTTCTGCTTTGTTTGGGTTGATTTTTGTGGCTCTTTTCTTGACTTCTTTTGCTCAATGCTTAAGTCAGTGATTTTAATTTATTCGTATTTATTAATGTAAGCATCAAAGGCTTCAGATTTTCCTTTGACTACTGCTTTAATTGGTCATATTCTCTAGTTTCTGATATTTTTCTTGTTGTTATTTTCTAGGTATTCTACAATTTCAGATTAGAGCTCTTCTTTGACTAGAAGGGAGAATATTTTTTTCCTTTTATTTTCTATGTACTAGAAATACATAGAAAAATTTCTCATTTTTGTTACTAATTTCTAGTGTTGTTGTGTTATGAGTAGGTGCTGTAGTTTGTACTTATTTCACCTTTTGGCTTAATATGTAGTCAATTTTAAAAAGGTTCAATGGACCCTTGAAAATGGAGAAGTTGAAATGTTCCCATTATCTTTGTTTTGACTGTCATGTCTGTCATCAGCTGAAACAGTCTCATAGTTTATTTCTCCTTTTTTCTGCCTTTGCATTTCCTATGGATTTTGCTTTCTGAATTGTGATGCTATGTTATTTGATACATAAAGATTCAGAGTAGTTAGATCTTAATCATGCATTCTAACCACTAATTTATAGCACCCTTCTTTGTCTTATTTGTTGATTTTTGCCTTTAATTCAACTTTTTTCTGCTATGAATATCATGGCTGTTGTTTTTTTTTTCATTTTTGGCATGAATTCATTTATTTTTTTATTGAATTATAGTAGATACACAATGTTACCTTAGCTTCAGGTGTACAACATGGTGATTTGAGAAGTCGATACATTATGCTATGCTCACAAAGGTAACTGGAAGCCTGTATCTCCCACTTCCCTTTACCAGTTTTGCCCATCAAGCTCACCCCCACCCTCACCTGCACCCTTCTGGCAACCATCAGGTTGTTTTCTATATTTATGGGTCCATTCCTGCTTTTTGTTTGTTTGCTTTGTTTTTTAGATTCCACATATGAAGAAAATCATATGATATTTATCTTTCTCTATATGACTTAGTTTACTTAGCGTAATACCCTCTAGGTCCATCTTGTTGCAAATGGCAAGATCTCATCCTTTTTTATGGCTGTGTATAATTCCTCTGTGTGTGTGTGTGTGTGTGTGTATACACATACCATCTTTTTTATCCATTCATCTTTTTTATCCATTTATCTGTTTTCTTTATCCATTCATCTATTGATGACACTTGGCTTGCTTCTATATCTTGGCTATTGTAAATAATGCTGCAGTGAATGTATAGAGGTACGTATATCTTTTCAAACTAGTGTTTTCATTTTCTTTGGCTAAATACCCAGTAGTGGAATTACTGGATAATATGGTATTTCTGTTCATTAATTTATTTATTAAGCAAATATTTATTAAATACCCACTGTGTACCAGGCACTAGGTACTAGATGAATTAGACACACAAGATCTCTGCTCTCATGGAGCTTACATTTTAGTTAGTAGAGCACAAAATAAACAAGTAAAATTAGATATGTGATATAATATTAGGTGGGGATGTATGTACTGAGAAAGAACAAAATAGAAAAAGGATAATTAAGGATAAGTCATCTCTATTTTAGATAAGGTGGTCAGGAAAGGCCTCTGCTTATAGCATTTGTCATCCTTTTACTTTACAGTAACCATCATGTTTGTTTGTTTCCTGATGGAGGAAATGCCAGGTGGAACAGTTTGCACACAAGGAGTTGTTATAATCCTAAGGAACTATAGGTGGCCAAACGCCCAAATGAGATTATGGATGTGAATTTCTGATCCATGTGAGTGATGAGCTAGCCAGGATGGGGACTGGAGATGAGCTAAGTGAAAGAGATTTTGTTCTTCATTCTATCTGAGCTTGGCTATCATTATGTATATTATTATTTCTTAAAGAAATATTCTCGGTTTTCAACATGACTATTGAATGGGTATTCTGTCTGATGATTTAATTAAACTGCTGGAATTTCCTGTCACTAAGCAGTACTTACTTAGCATGATGCTGATTGCTCACAGGCTACAGCAGGAAGCCCAGATCTTCTGGTATAGAGGGCTTAACTCTTTATACTCTGAGCCTAAAGAGATGTCCTTTGACCCTGGTCATTCTTTATTAGACAGAAGTTTGCCTTTTTATGCATATTTTTGTATATATTTAAATAAACCTGTACTTCTTTCTTTAAATATTTTTTCTATTGCTTATAAGAATCTCATTTTGCCTCACAAGTGATAGTCTTTTTAATTTTCTCATAATGTTTTTTTCTTATAAACATATACTATATATACATGTATACACATATATCTATTAAAATACACACACACACACACACACACACACACACACCCTTAACTCTTGAAGCTGCAATTTATTTTGGTATATAATAGAAGGTACAGCTCTAAATGTCACTGCTCTGCAGTTATCTCAAAACATTTTTTAATATCATTTTTTATCTCCTTGTTATAGAAGGTGAATTATAGATGATGTTTTTATAGATAGCTTGATATGTTTCTGGAGTTTTCATTCTGTTATATTAATCAGTAACACACTGTTTTAATTATAATTGCTTTATAACATGCTTAATCCCTTACCCTCAATTCTTCTGTAGCAAAATACTTTTTAATATTATATCTTACTTTATTTTGCAGGTTAATAAAAAATGCTGTTGTTAAAAATTCCTGTTGAGAATTCTGAGGAGAATTGCATTAGGAGGATCTATTTTAAACCCCAAGTAGCAAGCATTTGTAAATTTCCTGCTTGATATTTTTTGGTGCTAATATAAAAGCTTGGACAGAAAACATGTCATATTCATGATATAGCTTGCATCTGGAGAGGCAGCAGGGGAATAGAAGTGGGGAGTGAAACAAAGGCTATTAGCATTTCTTTAAAAAATCATAAAGTATAGATGGCATGGTATTAAAATGTGCTAATCCGGGGTGCCTGGGTGGCTCAGCCTGGACTGGGAGCGTCCAACTTCGGCTCAGGTCATGATCTCATGGTTTGTGGGTTCAAGCCTCGCATCAGGCTCTGTGCTGACCTCTTGCTCAAAGCCTGGAGCCTGCTTCAGATTCTTGTCTCCTTCTCTCTCTGCCCCTCCCCTGCTCACGCTTTGTCTCACTCTGTTTCTTAAAAATAAATAAATGTAAAAAAAAATTTTAATAAAATGTGCTAATCCTGGGCAGTAGGTGGGAACATGAATATTTATTATAGCAATATCTGTATGTTTCTAAATATTTAAAATTTTTGTGACTAAAAACAAAGCAAACAAAAACAATATAACAGGATAACCAGATTTGTAAGCCCCAGTACACAGCACATTCAATCTGAGTGCTACAGAGTGGGCGTAGTGCATGTATCCAAACTTTGGAGTTAGACTGTCCAGGTTCAAATCCCAGCTCTACCACTTACTAGCTTTACAACCCTGAGCAAGTTACTTAAACTGCCCATGCCTCAGTTTTCCTGGCTGTAAAATTAGGATGATACTAATAGCTACCTCCTAGGGTTATTGTGAGTATTAACTAAGTAAACACTGGGAAATCACTTAAAACAGTACCTGGCATTTAGTACACACTCAATAAGTGTTAGCTATCAATATTATGTGTTAGTATTACTATTCTTATTATTGCATCTACTATGAATATTTGCATCTGTTTTTGGCCATTGTAAATTTTACATAAATGATTTTATCCAAAATAGGGGGCCACCTGCAACTTGCTTGTTTTACACAATCCTCATCTTGCTGTTTTGCAGAGAAATGGCTCATTCCAAGGCTAGCTTTTCGTGGGCAACTCCGTTCAATCCTTGCCTTGAGAACCCAGCACTGGGCTTGTCAAGCTACCGAGCAGTCTCTTCTCTTGACCTCCTTGAAGACTTCAAGCACTCTTCAAAAAAAACAGAGGAAACTTCTGTTTATGAGGAGGGGAGCTCCATGGCCTCCATGTCCCACCCACTGCGCAACCGTGCCTTCTCCGAAAGCCATATAAGCTTGGAGCCCCAGAGCTCCCTGGCCTGGCGGCAGCATAGGAGAGAGCTCTTTACCAAGGTTGAGACCCAGCCGGATCCTCTGGGAGCCAGGAAGAAGGCCTTTCCTCCTCCTCGCCCTCCTCCTCCCAACTGGGAGAAGTACAGGCTTTTCCGTGCAGCCCAGCAGCAGCAGAAGCAGCAGCAGCAACAGCAGAAGGAGGAGGAGGAAGAGGAGGAAGAAGAGGAGGAAGAGGAGGAAGGGGCAGAGGAGGAAGAGGAGGGGGAGGAGGGGGAGGAGCTGCCACCCCAGTATTTCAGTTCAGAAACCACTGGTACCAGTGCCCTCAATCCTGAAGAGGTCCTGGAGCAGCCACAACCCCCGGGCTTTGGCCACCTGGAGGATTCAAGGCAGGGCTCAGAAAGCCTCTCAGCAGAGCAAGAGTCCTTTGGTCTCCATTCCAGCAATTTCCTGACTCCAATAAGGGGACACTTGGGCTCTCAACCTGAGAAGGCTCAGCCCCCTTGCTATTATGGTATTGGTGGCCTTTGGAGAACATCAGAGAAGGAGACCACTGATTCCCCCAAGTAAGTGCTTATGAAAGAAAGTTCCCCAAAGAGGTTGCACCATGAGTTTGCAATATCACCTCCCGGCTGTGTGACCTTTGATCAATGAATTAAACTGTTCCCAGCTTCATTTTTCTCACCAGGAAAATGGGCATGATTATACCTATTCTACACAGTTGTAAATATGAAGATAATCTGTATAAAGCCGAGAGCCCCATGTGTAGCTCATAGTAGGTGCTCAGTAAATAGTAGCTGCTGGTGTTCTTAAATATCACTATCAAAATACACTATTATTCCTCAGTTTGTCTTTAAGGTATGCATCAGTTTCAGGCTTGTGAGCCAGAAGACATTACTTTTTTTTTTTTTTAGTTTATTTATTTTTGAGAGAGAAAGCAAGGGAGGGGCAGAGAGAGAAGGAGAGAGAGGATCCCAAGCAACCTCTGCACTGTCAGCACAGAGCTCAATGTGGGGTTCGAACTCACAAACTGAGAGATCATTACCTGAACTGAAATCAAAAGTCAGATGTTCAACCAACTGAGCCACCCAGGTGCCCCTGAGCCAGAAGGCATAAACCCTTGTTCCCTTATGGCATTTCCCAAAAGCCTGGCTCAGGCCCTTTTCTGCCTTTTCTTTTGCTTGCTCTCTAGAATAAGAGGCCAGCTCACAACCTGACCTACCTCCATTCTAGGCCCTGCCTGGGCTTCTAAGCTCTTCCCTTACCCCCAGCAGCAAAGGTATACCTGGAGTTGGGCCCTTTATGCCCTGCTTATTCCTTATAATAGGTAAGGGCACTCTTTTCCTCTTCCACATTCTCTATTCCCCCCACCCTTGTCCCCCCGCCTGTTTGCATTTGCCTCAGTGGGCAATAGGTGGTAGTTGATTGGGTGAGCTGCCTGGGCAGGGAGACCAAAGCAGGAGTGTAGTCTAGCCCCAGGACTGCTGGTGTTGGCTTCCCTGTGCCAGTGCTCATCTGCATGCCCTGTAGCACCTGGTTGCCCGCTTGGTTCGGAAGCAGAGGAGCTTGGGCCTCAGTTCTGCCAGTCATCCTTCTGAGAGCTCAGGCAATGCTCTGATGGGGGTGGGGGGTGGGGGGGCCTGGTATCTATCCCAGAAGTGCTTTCTTTAAATCCCTTTATAGAAGGAACTTGCCTGAGATTTGTTGCTATTAGAAGTACCTTGTTGGGGGGCGCCTGGGTGGCTCAGTCGGTTGAGCGTCCGAC